CGCCGGCCCGGCTGACCGGCTCCCTGCGGGCCCGGCTCCCCACCGGCCCGGCTGACCCGGCTCCCCGCGGGCCCGGCTGACCTCCCGATTTTCCCGGACATGCCCGGCTTTTGGGGATTTCCCCCCGGACGGGGATTTGAGCCCCCAAAAGCCGGACATGTCCGGGAAAATCCGGACGTATGGTAACCCTATGTTAACACCTTGATTTGCACTCAGACAGGAAGTCAATGTGATCTTGGGAGCAGCATTGTTCTATGATTCCTGAGACTACAGCCATCAAGCAGGTGGCTGGCTGCATTCTACACCAGCTGTGACTTTTGAGTGGCCTTCCAGCATAGTCCATGAACCCTTTCCTGGAGATAAGCACCTAAGTCAGGTCAGCCCTATCTCATGAAAAAGCAAAGAGAGAGAGAGACCCATGGCAAAGACAGGTTTATGAGGCAACACATTTATATTTATTAAGGCTGTGAAAACACGGATTTTGACTCCTGTGGTTTTGGGGATCTTTAAGTTTTGGGTTCATTTTAACTCAATCTAGTTAAGGCAAAGTACAAAATGATACAAAGAGTCCTATGTATTGCTTCCGATTTTCAAAGGGTTCCACCCAGAAGATCTACCCAGTGGCAAACTGTCCCAAGTCTTCTTATGAAGCCAGAATAAAATTCAAAATTCAGTTTAAAAAAAATTAATTCCTGTTTAGCATCAGGTAATGTTTCAATGCAAGATTCACATACATACCCCTTCTCTCAAAAGTAGATTCCCATTCTTGCAATCCTTCAAGGTACGGGACAGCTTTAACTTTAACATTAGTTCCACATGGAGAAACCTCAAGGTTTGGGCCTAAGTTTTGTCTCCATGTCTTTTAAATTAAATTAATGGAGATATCCTATCTCCTAGACCTGGAAGGGACCTTGAAAGATCATCAAGTCTAGCCCCCTGCCTTCACTAGCAGGACCAAGTACTGATTTTGCCCCAGATCCCTAAGTGGCCCCCTCAAGGATTGAACTCACAACCCTGGGTTTAGCAGGCCAATGCTCAAACCACTGAGCTATCCCTCCCCTGACTTGTTGTGTGTAATTCCCATCCTTACTCATAATACATTATTGTACAAAGGTTCCATCTTTCTCTGCTGGTATTTTAAAAAATACCCCTCTAAGAATGGTTTCTGTTACTGAGAAGTGACGAGCTGACTGACAGCTGATTGAGTGGTTATCATTTTGAACTAGCAGGTGTGATTCACTCTGAGAAAACAGCACAGAAACATATGGGGTTTTGTGTATGTGTTTGTTCATCCTGAATTTCTTTTGCGATTAGGTTGGCTGCCTGTCAAGTATATTTTCTCAACCTGACACTGACCTTCTATTTTAAACTCCTTTTCTGATTTGGATGGAGTATGTCCCCAACAGCAAAGCATGCTGATTCTAGTTAAAGCATTTTCAGATGTGCCAGCTATTGATGAATCCTCCTGGTTGCCCTGTGTGCATACTTCTAACTTCACTGAAGACTGAGGCCCTGATTAATGGGCCTGAGTGCATCACTATTTAAAAAAGCATTTATGCATGTACTTAAATTTAAGGATCTGCTTAAGTCCCATTGACTAACAATGTGAATAAAGCACATGAATTAAATGCATGCTTAAGTGCGTTCCTGAATAGGGATGTTTTCTTGAACTGGAGTCCAAATAACTGAGTTAAATGACCAACTCTTTCCAGAATTAGATGATACAGTAGTAGATGTAATCCATCCCTTTACAAGCCTGAAAATCCTGTATGCTGCTTCTTTAGACTGCAGCATATCCACAAGCAGTTAACTAAAAGTTTTCATTTCACTTAATAGTTTACAGCTTCCCCCCACCCTCTCTTTTTAATAAGAAATAATTCCAGATAAATAATATAATAACTAAACAAATTCGGGGGGGAAGTGATCAGATGATGGGTTCACTATGATTGATTATGTGATAACTCAATGTGTTAGTCAAACATGCAGTTTCCTTTCTTTTAGTGAGGTATCTCCAGTAATATAAATGAGGCAATTTCAGATCACTTCCAAATCATTTGTGTGCATGTTAAAACAGTTTCTGCTTTTGTTTTGTCCAGGGAGTTAAGAGGGAAGAAGTAGTGGAGGTGCTCTACTCTCAAGACACACATGCCATGGCCACACTCCCAGAATTCCAATCCACCCTTTGTGCCCCACTTTCCTAATAAACCTGATTCTCTGTTCCAAATGCGAGTGGATCAGCAAAGTGAAATCGGCAAGACCTCTGACAGGCACTTCAAGGAAAACCACCCCAGGAGTATGTATGAAAGTTCACAGGGTAAGAAACACTTCTCATTATGACTAAACGATGAATTTTATTGTAAAGCTTTGCATTAAAATTAAAGAGGAAGAATGGTCTCATGGTTAAGCAGTAGACTGGTATTCAGGATATCCAGGTTCCATCTTCCAGGCTCTGCCATAAACTTTCTACATGATTTTGGGCACATCACTTCAGTGCCCCCATTTGTAAAATAGTGATTATCTGAGAGGGAAGTATTATTAGCTCAGAGGAGTGCTGGGAGGATAGATTAATTAATGATGGTGAGTTGCTTAGATACTAATGATGGGGGTCCATACTTATGGATAATTGGGATTTCTGAGCCTAATGCTGGAGGTAGCCATCTTGCTAGAAAGTAATGTTGTTATTGACACAGGCAGTGCATGTGAGAACCTTATGGAAGAGAATGTAATACAGTTTAGTATCAATTTTAAGATGTAAAAAATCAATTATCTTTTTTATAATCAGCGGTGCCATTAGCCTCTGCCAGACTCTGCTAACTCCATGCTTCTGTAACACAGGAATTGGGTAAAAATCGAGGTTTGAGATTTTTGGATTCTGTTATTCAACACACCACCACCAGAAAATCCCCATAAACCAGGTGTGTATAAACAGCAGTGCAGCATTTGTCAATCATTTACACCAGTGCAGCATTTGTCAATCATCCCAGGTCTGCTTCCTTTGCATTTATTTATTGTAATTGAATCAGTGGTTCAAAACCCTTGAACTTCATATTCCATTTAAAACTAACTCAGGGCTGTTGCTGGCAAATGGGATGCCTCCTGGAAGAGAGTATACCAATACGAGAGAGAGGGAGAGAAAAAAAAATAAAAGAAAGGAACTAAAAGCTTTTAACTTGCGCTGTACATGATAAAGATAGACTTCCTTCAAAGAGCACTGGGGCTTTCAAAAATCACAGGAGTGCAGAGAGGTCACCCATAGATATTTGAATTATTAACACATGTTTAACCATTAAAGAAAGATGTATTGATAGAATATCAATGTGATTAATTATTTAGTTACACAAAGTAAAGCATTGAAGAGAAATTAACTATTCACCACTCCTTGGTGAGGACAAGCCTTCAAGAAATGCATCATAAAAGGATTTGTTACTACGAGGCTTGTTAATAGCTTCCAGACCCAAAAAGCCTTAAAGTACCATGGAAGACGTGTACATGTTATTTGTATTTATCTTGGATACAACATGAGCCTTCATGATTTGATCTGCAATGAGATGGAATGGAGAAAATTGTGATGAGCCAACTTTGTGTTTGAAGGGAAACGTGACATCTATTTCACATGTGGGGACCTATTAAAAACAAATAGGTTTTTAAAGGAAATTTGTACAGATGTTTTTTTTTAAATCTATCCAGTAAGACATTTTGCACATGGAGTTTTCCACATCTGTACAAAACACCTCCTTTGAGGGAGGGAGGTCTTACTATTGCTAATACGGATTCTGTGGGAAAAGGTAAAAGTCTTTTGTTAATATGTTCTGGCAGGGGAAAAAATGGTCTGCCACTGAAACTTGCAACTCAGTGTTTGTCAATTGTTACAAAGAAAATCTTAGTGCATTGCACACCCATGTTTGAATAAACTCATGTCTGAAATTCCTCAGAAGCATTGACATAAATATATTAAATTACACCACAGTTTCCTGAGTACCTGACTAACCATCCATATAATCCAACTGGATTTTTTAAAACACAGTCCCCAGATGTAGTATTAATAGCCTAACATGCTCACTTCTCTGTGTAGCTTATAGAATATGGGAATATTACTGGGTAAACTTCAGACGGTTTGAAATTTGGCTTTTGTTGTGGATAATTACTACAAATGGGAGGAATATGAAGTTTTCTGAACAATACAAAGGTAAGGGCTGAGCTCACAAATGCTCCCTCGTCCATCCTTTATGTTTCAGGCCCTGCTGTGGCAGGGCAGTGCTGGTTGGGCACTTGCCCTCCTCCTGACCAGAGAGACGCAAAATAAAGAACACTGATGTATGTATCTCCCCTGGCCTCCATGGTGAGGTGAGAGAAACACCTTTGCTCCATTTCAGCCTTTCTCTCTGGCCTCAGAAGGGAGAGTGAAGAAGAGAATCCCCAGTGGCGGCATTTGGAGACTTCCCTTTCCCAGGACTCAGAGAGGGGACTGAATTCCCTGTCAAGACCCTCTCAACCACAGATGGGCTGAAGCATCAAAAAGCAAGGGGTTACCAGGACACACTGCTACTCTCCCCCACCACTCCACGACTCCCTTCTCTCTCCATCAAACCTCCCGCTACTTCTCTGCTGCTGATTTGTGGGTGAAGCCAAGTATAGAGTAGGGCATCTCTCAGCCGCACAGTTAAATGGGAAGTCATCAAGTGGGAGCAGAAGTATTTTAATTCTGCTGCTGCTGCAGATTAGACAGGAAGACAACCTACATGCTAGCTGGGAGGGTGTGTTGAGAAAACAGGCAGACCCCCAGCAAGGATCTGTTCCATCAGATCCACCCTTAGAAGGCCAAGAGGTGGAGTCGGGCTGGCAAACCATCATCTGAAAATATTGGGAAGGGACAAGGAAACTGTCAAAGGCCATTGCACCTCCCAACCATAGACAGCACCAGATAAGATGAATGCCAGAGCTGATGGAGGGAAAATGGACTTGTGTCCTATTCTGGGAAGGGTGATAGCAGGTTTAGTTGAGTATAAATCTCAAAAATAAAGAGCATCTGAATATAAATATTGAGTTATTCACCCATCCTTACTAAGCTTCCCACCATGAGCTTATCTCAACTATCGGCACTTTCTGATAATATTTCTGCTTCTGTTAAGGTAAAAAAAAATCCTGTGTGAAGAGAGACCATTTTATGGCACTTCTGCTTATATGTTCTGGCCAGGACTGGGAAGGCAGGGATGTGAAAAGGGTGGAGGGTTGTTTGGGGTTTTTTTCCGGGGGGGAGGGGACTTTCATTCCAAAATGGCTAATTTTCTCCTTGTGTAAATGTATGAAAATAACGTTACTCATAGCCAGATGTGCAATTCATCTGGAAAAACAGAGAAAATCTGCATGCAAAAAATCAGGAACAGAAAAATCAATAATTTTATACATCTCCAGTCAGGAATTGTGCATATAATTCCCATGGGCCACAAAGAAAATGGAAAACTAAAAAGCAATGCAGCATATGGCTTCCAGGCTCTCTGGAGGCTAGAATTGTATCTCAAGGGGTTTTTTGGGTTGCCAGCTAGACATTTTCAGTTTGTCAAGCTTGCGCATACCATATATTGTAAGTCACACATCAATTCATTAATCCACACTGCCAGTTAAAGAGGACTTGCAAAGGTAAGGTAGGACATCATAGCAGCTTTAGCATTAAGTGCTGAATGCCCTAAACAGCCAAGCAAGGAGGAGCATTTGGTGCAGCTCCCCAGACTGTTGTTTGAGGCCTACTTTTTATCTACCATGGGTAATCAGCTCATGTTGTAAGGAAACACTCCAACCTGGATCTTACAGCTACCAAGAGCTTCATGCTCCTGCTGGTTTATAGGGTCAGGTGAGTTCTATTTTTTTTCTTTAATACATTGTATGTTTTCCTTTTTTATTTGTATTTGATACCAACAGAGAAGGCAGCCAGATTATTAGTATACTTGCTAATTAGTCATGGGTGAATCTCAGAAGCTTCTGGGGTTTGGTTTAGATGCTTAACCAAAGCTCACTGAAATTATCAGGATCTTCTGAAGCTCCCTCCTTCTTTGATCATCCTTCCCTAATGCCTCCCTCTAAGGCAGGGGTAGGCAACCTATGGCACGCATGCCAAAGGTGGCACGCAAGCTGATTTTCAGTGGCACTCACACTGCCTGGGTCCTGGCCACCAGTCCACGGGGCTTCACATTCTAATTTAATTTTAAATGACGCTTCTTAAACATTTTAAAAACCTTATTTACTTTACATACAACAGTAGTTTAATTAGATATTGCAGACTTATAGAAAGAGACCTTCTAAAAACATTAAAATGTAGTACTGGCACGCGAAACCTTAAATTAGAGTGACTAAATGAAGACTCGGCACACCACTTCTGAAAGGTTGCCGACCCCTGCTCTAAGGCCCCATGGACAGTGCAATTATGGCCACATACCTCAACTCATAACTCCACACATATATTAATAATGCGAAGCTCATAAAGTGCACAAGAGCTCAGTCAGAGAGGCAATGGGACCGCCTGGGTGGGGGACTGTAGGGAGTCAAGGCAGGCTAGCTTGTGGCAGCTGCTGAGGGAGATGGGTCTCCTGTGAATCAGACTGGGATAGGGAGAGGCTTTGGAAATGAGTGTTGGTCAGGGAGCCAATCATGGTGTAACTGGTTCACATGGAAAATCTTTTGAGTTTGGTGTATAGGATTTTTTTGAATGGCACCAAGTTCCTGTCAGTGTGCAAACTGGTTTATCTTTCAATGGCTCCTGGGCTCACCTTCAGCCCACTTCTCAAGCCTCCTCTGTATCCAGGACCTCACCCTTTTGAGACCCCTTCTCCTCCATTCATTCTTATAAGATGGCTTCAAATTTTAACCCAGATGGTCATGGCACCCACTGCACCCCCTAGTCAGCCTGGACTATCTTCTCTGAGGTACAACCCCTTAGGTTTCAGTAGGCAGTCTTGTTGCTGTGAAGGTTAGGAGCCTTCCCTGTTTAGGTCCTTAGCTGTAGTAGAACTTAGGAGCATCACAGGGCAGGAAACTCTTGCTGTGAACCACACGCTGCTCAGTTTTAACAGTAACTATTCCTTGACTCCAGCTCCCCTACTCAGGCCTGTCACTCAGAAGTCTTCCCGTCTTCCTGGATGGTTTTGCGTATGTCCTGGGAAAGGAGGTTTATGGCACTGGGCTGAAGGACTGGAGACATTTCTCAGCTGTAGTAGACTGGTATGAAAAGCAGGGAGGTTTGTAGGAACTAGCTAGAATTGTGTATGAGGGGGTTCTCCACAGTGCTCTGCTACATAACTTTGGGGAAGCTGCTGCATACTTTAGGTCTAGTGTACTTACACAAAAAGAACAGAAGTACTTGTGGCACCTTAGAGACTAACAAATTTATTTGAGCATAAGCTTTCGTGGGCTACAGCCCACTTCATCGGATGCATGCAGTGGAAAATACAGTAGGAAGATTTTATATATATATACACACAGAGAGCATGAAACAATGGCTGTTAACATACACACTATAAGGAGAGTGATCAGTTAAGATGAGCTTTTATCAGCAGGAGAGAAAAAGAACTGTTTGTAGTGGTAATGAAAATGGCCCATTTCCAGCAATTGACAAGGAGATATGAGGAACTGTATGGCGGGGAAAAATAAGCATGGGGAAATAGTTTTACTTTGTGTAATGGCCCATCCACTCCCAGTCTTTATTCAAGCCTAATTTAATGGTGTCCAATTTGCAAATTAATTCCAATTCAGCAGTCTCTCGTTGGAGTCTGTTTTTGAAGTTTTTTGTTGTTGTAATATTGCGACTTTTAGGTCTGTAATCGAGTGACCAGGGAGATTGAAGTGTTCTCCACCTGGTTTTTGAATGTTATAATTCTTGCCGTCTGATTTGTGTCCAATTATTCTTTTATGTAGAGACTGTCTG